ATTATTAAAATGTTATAAATGCATACAATAATTATGAGATAAACTACCATATTACTAAGAATATTCATTGCTACACTTTATTTTATGTATTAAGATTTTAAGTAATTTTGCAACTATGAAATCAGATACATTACCTAGGACTTTTTTTATGTAATGTAAAATAACATAGAGAATAATGCACTTACCTTGACACTGTCCATTTGTCGTCCTACTAAATCCAAGTCTACATTCACATGAATAATTCCCTGGTGTGTTCTTACAAACTTCATTAGTTGGGCAGGTGATGTACTTGCACTCATTAACATCTTCAGAGCACGTGTCACCTGTCCACCCAGGTTTGCACACACAAACACCATTGGTGTTGTCGCAGAATCGTGTTTTAGACAGATCACATCCACAATTGAACTGACAGGTTGGTCCATAAGTAAACTCTTTACATGCTAAAATTATAAAAAAAAATTAATATCTATGAAACAACTTTTTAAAAAAAATACAAAAATCGCCACAGCTGTTGTAGTTACTTTTTAAACAAGGAACAACATGCTGTATAGCTGAGTATTCTAGTGGGTTTTTTTTTAATCTTACATTTACTGTATTAAGAAAAATATAATAATGAAAATTCACGATAAGCATGGTTCTAATTTAAAGTATAGCCTACATGATTCAGTAGCAAAAAAAGTATTTTGAGTAATACAATAGGTATATATATATATATATATATATATATATATATATATATATATATATATATATATATATAATTTTTTAAAAGTTTTTGCCTCTAAATGTTTGTTTAAATTTATTGTATCCGGGGATAAAATGTTATCTTACTTTAATTCACATTATATAAAGCAATAACTTTAGTAATAAAATATTAAGAACAGGTACACACAGTCTGTACAAAGATAATAGAAAAGATTTCTCAACAACAGCTTGTATTAATATATTTTATCCTAAGACAAAACATGTTACTTACTTTAAACCACATTACAGAAAACAAAATTGCATTTCGCATTTTATATGAAGATACATACTGTGTGTGTAGAAAACACCAGAAAATCCTCCTGTTGTGTTCCAGTACGGATATGTTGTTAGCTGAATCTCCATGACGTTACCACTGGTCCTAATCAAAGGTGGTATTTTTGTTCCACAGTATTTGCCTATGTGTGTGCTTGTTGCATTAATAACGCTGTAGATGTTTAGTGATTCATATAAGCAAGTTCCGTGTTCACGCATCCGAAAATCTTGATCCTTGATACTATAAAATTAAAAGGAATGCCGACAAAAAAGTAAGTATGTATAGAAATTACAATATAGAAATATGGAAATATATTTTAGTATTATCTAATAGGTATGTTTCGCCAATTAGATATTATTTCTAAAATGCTCTTAATACTTAGTTGTTTTGTGGATGATGATATTTTATGTGAAAAAAATAGGTTTGTGGTTACCTAAGTGTAACAACTTGACCCGGACTTCCTTGTATTCTCCATTTACATGTAGCATTCATATATACATAATTTGGAAAGCCAATCGTGGAAATACTTCCAGACACAGCAGTTATGTTACTGTCACAATCTAAATGAATAAGTAAATACATTACAAACTTATGTGTTATTATTTATGTGAGCGAGTGAATGATTAATTTATATGTTATAGTTTTTGCTTGTTTGCGGTAATTTGTATGTATAGAACCGCAGCGAATCTACTTTTGTATATAAGTTGTGTATGTACTTTCGGTCAACATTGCTATTAACCATCTAGATTTGTTCCTTTTCTTACTAAAAATAAGATGTAGACCGGTAAGAATTCGTACCTTTTTTACTTTCTCGTATATACGTGGTATAGAAGAAGTATTGTAATCGTGCAAAAAAATCGAAATCGAGATTTTCAAATCTCTCGAAATTTTACAACTCCCAGAGTCGGAAAAACATAGTTTTGCTATTTTGTCCGTATGTCTGTGTTTGTATGTGTGTATGTATGTGTGTGTGTATGCGTGTATACGTGTGTGTGTGTTTGTGAACACGATAACTTGAATACCGTTACAGCTAGGTTGATAAAATTTCATTTTAGCTATTTCCGAAAAGCGGAAGTGGAATTTATTTTACTTTGGTTTTTCAAAAGCGTATATCTTGAGTACTGGTTCAGATAAATGAATGAAAATCTCATGTAAGTAAAAGATCTAATTTGCTATCTTTTGTCATTTTTTTGTAATTTCCGTTGACCATAAGTAGTAATTTACACTATTTACGATTTCATAAAAACGCATATTAATATGAATTTATAAATTAGTACTAATATTCCGCATTATTATACACATATTATTTGCCGTTCACTTGGTGTGCAACTCCTTTTTTCTACGAGATTCTATTTTTATAAAGTTTTAGTAATAAAAATTGATTAAAAATTATATCTTTATCACAAGTTGCCGTCCCACGTAACGTTATATAAGAATACTCAAGAAAGTTAAGGGGAGATCACTCCCAATTTTTTTCTTTTTGTTTTCACGAAAATTGTCCACTATCTGCCCTTCATCTTAGAAGACCCATTGAACACAGATAACAACACGCCTACCTTTATAGCAGCGAACTACTCGATAAACAATTAAGCGTGTCAAGCATTGCAAACGCTACGCGCTCACCCTCCTCCTCCCTTTTCGTTTTAATGTCATACACCCCACAAACATAAACACCCACACCCACCTCCATACAGCCATTCACCTTTTTAAAATTAAAGGTTATGTCACACACTGATAAAAACAATCTTACCTTTTTGACATTCTTGGAAAATTATTATGTATAGCATAAGATAAAATGGAATTAACTGATTAAATATTCCGCTTTCACATCAGAAAATTGATTATGGCCCCTTACAAAAAAAGGAACATCTAAAATATCGAAATACTTTCTGTCATCATAAAAGGGCCTTTTTTTTTTAAAAAAATTCACCTCAGCCCCGACTTTAAAATTAGATATTATAAACATAGTATTTATGGTATAAATATAGTTCAAGAAGTTGTAATTTCAAATTATGCAATCCTGTAATCCTATTAAGAAAGGGAATGTGAACCACCTAGCACTGTCTAGTTTCACAAACAGCAACCATTTTCAATTAATTTATATCCCCCCCCCCCTTTTTTTCTCATATCATGTTTTTAATATATATCCCTTTCTTACGACGGATGCCACACTATTTGTCCACCATCTTTGAACTTCCTATTGACACAGACAAAAACACACCTACCTACCCTAAACACAACAAACCACCCCAAGCAAAACCTCTGCCCCAACTTATTCATCGTCTTCACAGACACACACACTGCATACATTAGCAGCGTCACTACAAGGACACGAATCACTACCTCTCCCCAACCTTAACACTGAACATGGCAAACCAACCCAAAACCAACTCCGCGTGTTAGGTAATTTGCTTACCCGCGTTTACTACCCGTCACCCTACCCACACCAACCTCATCCTAAAATCATAAACATATGAACACCAAAGACAAGCATCACTGCCTTGGACGCACTCCCCCCCCCCCCCTACACACACACCAAATATAAGAAATGTGTTACCCCCTAGCACTAGCTTATTGAGGGGGGAAGTAGAGGGGGCAAGTTGCCCGGGCGGCACTTTTTTGTGGCGGCCTTTACGTTAGATCAAGCATCATTGATTCTGTTAAACAAGCAAAATACTTTACTATCGTGTTTGTCGGCACAAAGGACCTTTTACATGTTGATCAAATGTCCCAAATTCTTCGTTATGTCCACCAAAATGAAAGATAAGTAAGCTTTGTCGACTTTTTATCACAGATCAAATTTTGAGGAAGCTTCAGGAAAATGGTCTACGCTTGTCGGACTGTAGAGGCCAATGTTACGGTAACGCTACAACAATGGCTGGTATCCAGACTGTGGGTAGGGCAACGTATTTTTCAGCTAAATCCTAAATCCTTGTGAATACCATGCACAAACCATTTTGCGTGAATTCATGCAGCTGAAATCAGTGCAAATGCAGTGACATTTTTCGGTACTGTCAAATCATTATTTGCATTTTCATCTTCCTCTACACATCGATGGAAAATACTCTATAAGCATGCTCCAGCAAAAATTTAAAAAGAATGTGTGAAACTCGCAGGAGTTCAAAGTACGAAGTTCAAGAAGCTGTGGCCTTACATTTCGATACAATTATTGATGCTTAAGAGTAGCTTAGGGGTGGTAACTCAGAAGCAGTTCAAACCAGCGATGATGTTGGGACTATTTTCATTGCGATTTTGTCTTACTCATTTATATCGTATCTATATTTATAGAGCCCAATATTACAACACATACAATACGCAACAAGCATCTACAGACATAGGATATAGGATTGGATAGCTACGCGGCAAAAATGAGGGCTCTAAGTAAATATTTTGGATGAGAAAGAAACAATATAGTGGAAAGGCCTAAACAACTGCTGTCAAGTTTTGCTTGGACGACGAAATCTTTACAGAACGTCGTTTTCGGTAAAAATGCCCAAAGGCTGGATAGGAAGCAAGAGATGTTGGATTAACTTTATTACAAGCAATTCATCGTGAATAACTAGAAACCATCGGTCGTTTGCTCTGAGAAATTGAACGAAGATCTTTGCATATACAGAAAATTAACACAATGTTTGGATTTCTCACGCATTTTTTTTGTTTAATCTGAAAACGATTACATCGATATAGCTATCAAGAATCTCACAGAACTCTATGACAAAACTAGTGCAGAAAGTTTGTTACGAAATACGAAGTTTTCGATTAGTCAAATTCAAAGTTATCAGGAAATCACTGACAAAAAAGCTAACAATTGGGAAACTTTGAATATTTTCAAGTGTATGGTAAAATTGGGATTAGTTAAGTGTCTTCCCAACCTAACCATAGCAATCCGCATATTTTTAACAATGAGCGTCAGTGTAGCTAGCTGCAAAAGGAGTTTTTCAAAACATAAATTGATCAAATCATATTAAAGGTCCACCATCAGTCAGGCAAGACGAACAAACTTGGCCATTTTATCAATAGAAAGACACTGAGCTGAAACAATTAATTTTAATGCTGTCATCTGCAGTTTTGCTTCCAAAAAAACACGCAAAATAAATTCATAGGTAACAATTGTGGGATATTTTTGCTGGACCTGTAGTGATGTTGCATCTGTGGCGATAATTTATAAACCTATGGATTGGTTAGGTTTTGCATCCCTAACCTTTTTTGTAGCTTATATTTATAATTTTCTATGTTATGCATCGACAATCAAGAATGCTAAAAATTGCACAAGACAATGGCATTTTTCACTTGTTGAAGTTCAGATTTTAAAATTGTTTATTAATTAAAATTACGTTTTAATATGTAATATATTAGCTGTTTTAAAAATGAAAACCTACCAGGTATGCATCTATAACTTCCTACAGTGTTCACACATTTTTCAGTGAGATAGCAAGGATTACTAAGACATTCATCGACATCATCAGCACATGTAGCTGATTGCCACCCAGGGTAGCAGGTACATGACCCGTTAAAACTGTCACAATATTGTGTGTTGTTCTTGACACAGTTGCATGGTGTGGTACATTTTTCTTCACCATAGTAAAATGGAAGGCATCCTGTAAGTATACAGTAAATTATTTTAAGGTATACATTACCTAGTTTTAGAAGATTAATTTCCAAAACAAATGCATGTAATTAAAATGTGTTGTTAAAAATGAATAATGAAATTAACGTTTATATACAACCTACATTTTTATGATCATGTATGAAGAAGGAAAACAAACAAATCTTTGTTTTGATCAAATAAAATTCTGTTTACAATAAAACACGGAAATTATTAAATGAAACCACAGAAAGTACACCATATTTGTTTACTTCCATTAATTCTAATACAATAGTAAGTTAAGTTATATTTGTTTATTTTTAATCATTAAAAACACAAATTTTGATGATTAAATTAAACGCAATTGGTAAATTTATATTAAAATTGTATGTTAATCAATTTTCATAATAGAATATAGTGAATGGAAATAGAAATAGTAAAATTTTGAAATGTATAATAACAGATGATGAAAAAACAAAGCAAAAACTATAACAATGACAAACCTTATATATATATAAGAGAAAGAGAGAGAGAGAGAGAGAGAGAGAGAAAGAGAGAGAGAGAGAGAGAGAGAAAGAAAGAAGTTATAATTATTCCATATTGGATATTATGTACATACTCAGAAATGTGGCATTGAAACCTTTTCCTGCTACAGATCCATCTGACTGCAACAAAACGTATACAATGTTTTCTGTTGATGTTATTGGATTTGGATTTGTTGTCCCGGAAAATGGTCCTTTGACATCTAAAAAAGCACTTTTGGGATTGTATACTTTAAGAAAGGATTTGCCTTGGGTATCCAGTGAGACTTCTGTAAACCTAAAACAAGAGGATTTTGAAAAATATTCAAAATAACACCCGTATGATTTAATATTGAATGTAACTAAATCAGTGTTAGATTTAAGAGAAACATGTAATTCAAATATGAGATTTCAAATTTGTATGGTTTACAGTACAAAGCCTGATTGCGTGTGCTTATTTAATGGGTCTGCAAAAAAAAACTTGCAACATAATTATTAATTAATGCAATATTAGCAAATACAACATTTAATTTTACGTTTGTAAAAAAAATGCACTGCAAATCTTTCAGAAGTTTGCCAAATATCACAGATAAATATTGAAAAGTTTAACAAATATCACGAGTGTAAACACGTAAGGCTCTGTATAATTCATGTATGATTGAAATTGTTTTAAATACGGGGTCTATTAGATATTTCAATATGATCTAAACACTTAATTACATATTACTAAATTATTTTACAGCAATTTGTTGTGTAAATTAATAAATTTTCTCCTATACTACAAATATTAACATGTAGTTTGTTTACTAGCTACTACTAAAATAAAAACTATAAAAAAATTAAAATTCTTTTTTTTCTTTAAATTATGAAATTGAGATGGAATAATAGAATAATTAATTATTTAATCAATTAAACCTATTATGTGGCATCCATTCTCTCCAAATCACGATCAAGATCCACCTATAGCTTAATTTTATGTTTATTCTAATTGTATAGGCTACCTTAAAGAAACGTTGTATCCAACAGGCGCGTTTATTGCCCAATAGCAGACAGTGTTGTTGATATATGTTGGGTAGCCAGGATTTTTCAGTATCTGTTTTTCATCCGTTGCATCAATAAGTTGTTTGCAACCACTGGCATAATCTAAAAATACATTAATGAAACACAAGGTGTCGTAATATAATAAATATCAATAACAGCTCTTAATTCTTGGGGTGCATTCGTTTATAACCTATGAAGGGATAGTTTATGGATGGTTTTAGAGCTATGTTTTGGGTTAGGGTTCGGGTTATTTTTCGAGTTTGGGTAAGTTTTAGGCTTAGGGTTAGGAATAGGAATAGGGTTGGGGATGGAAATATGAAATAGGGATAAGGACAGAAATAGGGTGCTGGTTAGGATTCTAGTTAGGGGTAGTTTAGGTTTAACTTAGTTTTAGGGTTAGGTTTAGAAATAGGGATAGGAATAGGGATAGAATAGTGATAGAAAAAGGGATAAAATAAGCTCCTTCTTAAATTTACTTATTCCACTGTAATGTATTCTAAAGAATGGCAAGAGAAAGTACAAACTGCTATTCATTTTGTTCTCAGTGAGCGAAATTCATGTATTCAAAGTGTAGGCATTTTAGAAAATGCCGGGTTTACCTAGTTAATTAGATATTTTCAAGACGGGATTGGGGTAAATACGGTTGGATAATTGAGAAGGGATAATGGCAGGGAAGACATAAAAGGAGGTAATTAAACTTGGTGTAAAGCCCTAGATCTTCATAGAATATCACACATTCTCTACTCTATGTTAATGTTGCGTGTTCATCTTACCAGACAATTATTTCAATAAAAATGCATCTGACGAAATACATATTAGATATATATAAATCTGGAGCAGTACAATTCATCCCCACCCGTCAATTGCCCTCCGGACATCCCCCCCCCCCAGTAGCAATTCCTCCAAGTCAATTCCCCCCCACCCCCCACCCCCGCCCAGTTAGGGATAAGTTAGAGTTGGGGTTAGTGTTTGTGTTATGGACAATGTTTGTGTTAGGTTTAGATCTATATTTAGAGTTGAGGTTAGGATTGATGTTGGGGTTAAGGATTAGCTATAGTTTTGAGTTTAGTGTTTGTGGTTAAGGTAAGTGCCAGGGTTCTTCAACTTGGGAGGGGGTAACTACCAAAGGGGTTGTGATAACTTACCGGGAGATATTGGACAGTGTTAATGACTCCGTGTGTATAATGTCGGGGTGGGGTATTTCCAGGGAAAGGTGATTGACGGGGTGGGTAGAGTAGTTTCCTAGACTCACATACAACCTATTAGTTTATTATTTAATATGGTAGATAATACTAAGCCTTGGTATATATTACCATTTGTTGTGTATAATCCATAAAATCGTGCATTTACGTAAGCACTGGAGTTTAATTTCAAATGCATTGCATTTCCAGTCGATTTTATTGTTAGTGTATCGTGTCTTTCATTGTGATATCGACCAATTAAAAAAGCATCAGCATTTGGCCCATCAAAAATATGTAGGAAACTGTTGTAGCCAGTGGAAGAATACAAGCTTGTAAATCTGTAAATCAAAACCAAAACGTTATCATGTTAACGTTGTAACGAAAAGGTTAATTACCCTACCAGACCAATTTGTCGATACTAATTTTAAGTCGTTTGTTCGCTCGCTCATTCTTTCGTTCACTCGTTCACTCGTTTGTTTGTTCATTCGTTCGCCTGTTCGCTAGTTTGTTCACTCGATCGCTAAATCACTTGCTCATCCACTCACTCAATTATGTATTCATTCCGGGTTTTATTTCTCTATGAAAAAATGGTCTTGGTTTTGCGATAGTTCCAGCTTTAAATCAAATAAGAATACCTTAAAGTAATTGATTTCCCTTGAGGCACTGTAATGGTCCATGAACAAGGAGTCGTAGATTGATAATAGTTTGGGTAACCTGGTGACGTGATGTTTCCCTCACTTGCATTCAACAAAAAACTGCAAGCTGTGATTATGATATAGCATAAACAGATTGAGGATCCCAAATTATAATTTAAATATTTTTTTAAATATGTTGTGAGTGCATTAGAATTTTAATAAACTTGTTGTTTTGTTGTTGTTTTTTTTTTAAATACAATAAAACCAAGTTTTTAACTGTTAAACATTTAAACTAAATGAAAAAGTAGAAGAGTTTAATTATACTGAAAAGAATATTCAAATGTTTTCACAAGGTGTCATTAAAAACAATATTATAGTCCTTGTGAATGAGAGGCGTAATTGTATGATGGGGGAGGGGGGTCGTTACACATTTGAGATTTTGTTTCATGAAAAAAAAATTCTTTACAATTCTTTAGGTAAATTATTAGGAAAAACAATCAATAAATGGGTTTTATTTTATAGATATACGTTTAATGTATATTATCAGCACACATTTTTACGAAAAAATTCAAACAATTTGGAATTGGGGAATGGCAACAGATAGCTGAACACCCATTCTCTCCAAATCACGATCAAAATCCATCTATAACCTACTTAAGTGTTTGTTTATATTCATTGTATACCTCAAAGAAACATTGTATCCAATAGTACTTTACGTTATTTCCTATTTCTCAAAAAACCCATACGAATTTACAAAGTACTAATATTCCGCACTGTTAAACACATATTGTTCGCCGTTCGCCTGGCTCGCAATTCTTTTTTTTAAAGTTTAAGTATGTAAAAAATTATTAAAACCATGTCTATATCCCGAGTTGCCATAACCCGTAGTGTTTTATAAAATATTCGAGATAATTTAGAGTGAGATCAATGCCGATTTGGTTATAAATGAAATATTTATTAACTTTTTTTAAATGTTGGTGTTAAATTAGAAATAATGTCAAGTTTAATGTTGATTTAAATTAGTATAGGGAAAATGTAAATAATACGATGTTTGGAATAGTTTGTTCAAAAACCTTACCTGTTATTTTCTTCTTGTTTAGTGAATGCATAAAAGCTTGTCTGTGTGTGTGTCAGTGTTTTTTCTGTGTGTGTAGTATTTGTGTGTGTCTGTGTGTGCACGTGTGTCTGTCTATGTTTGTCTTTGTGTGTCTGTGTGTGTCTTTCTGTGTATGTGTGTGTGTCTGTCGGTGCGTATGTCCCTCTGTATGTGTGTTTGTCAGTGTGTGTGTCTGTGTGGGAATAGGATACCAGGAGTACCTTTTTAGTTAGGTGAAAGAAATTTATATATATGTGTATATATATATATATATATATATATATATATATATATATATATATATATATATATATATATATATATATATATATATATAAGTATTTTATCGGAAAGTACAGCAACCCTTCAAACTTGAAGGTCCATGGTACAAATGAGGCAGAGCTAACCTGTTTCAGTAACCTGAAAGTGATAGTGAAAGTGAAAGGGATAGTGTGGTCAGTGCTTTGCCCAGTCGCCTTTACTTTCCTTAACGTCAGTAAGATAGCCTAGTAAAAGATCATATTCACCGGTTTCTATCAACTTTTAAGTGATTTCCGGTACACGAAAGTGGTATTTTATTCTACTTCTTTATGAAATGAAAATAAGTTACGTTTCAGTACGAGCACGAGATTTCAAATATAAGTATTGGCTGCTGTTGGTAGATTTTTTGCATCTTATAATTATTTGCGGGAATCGTAAGATGTACTTTATTTCAAATATATTATACGAGCCGACCCGCGGCGAATTATACGCCGCTATTTAGTTGTTTTATTTTCTACTTTTCAGTAATTCATAATTTGAATGCTGCCACTGAAAATATTTGCTTTAAAACACTAAAACCCTCCTTTCCCCCTACCTCCCCCCCCCTTGAAAGCAGCCTGGTGTTTTCTATGGTCTCCAAGAAGAGAATTATATATATAGATGAGAAGCAATTTTTTTTAATCGTATCTTGGCCTACGTTTCGCGTTTTAAAGAAATCGGTCAGATAAAAATGGTCGTAGTTTCGCTTGCCCATTTGAGTCGTGACGATAGATAGATAGAGGAAGCAATTTAAATAAAAGCTTGTAAATATTGAATTTGGCCATAATCTATATTAAATGAGTATGAAACAATAAATCAGAAGTAGACAAACTTGCCTTAGTTATCAATGCTAAAAATAAAATAATCATTTGGATACACTTTAAATAATATTTTTAGGCCAACTTAGCAGGAACTTATACTTTGCTTTGCTAAGCAATTAACTGTGACAGCGATGATTATTTATTATTTATATTTTATTATTTTTGCTGATAAAATCACAAAGTACTTAAATTATCAATTACCTGCTCTCACACATGTTCCGTTTGGTGCCTTTTCAAAACCCTGAAAGCAATCGCATCTATAGCTTCCTGGGGTGTTCACACAATAATAATTGCCAGTTGTCTCCCTGCAAACCTTGAGGTTGCCACTAAAGCTACACTCATCGACGTCATCAGCACATGTGCTGCCTGACCAGCCAGGTAAACAGATACACTGACCAGTGACATTGTCACAACGTTGGGTGTTATTCTTGACACAAGTACTGCAACTCCTTTCACAGTTTCTTCCATACGTTAGACCAGTGCATTCTGAAATTGTTTAAATGACATTAATAATGGGTCACATATTTACAAAATAAGTGAAAAAGTGTCATCATAAAAATTGTTCACGGCGGTCATGTCAATATACAAAATTGATCTAAGTATTGTTTAACTATACCATGTTTAAAAATATTTTAATACTTTTCGAATTGAGTGTAGTATTAGTAACCATGTTTTGTACAGCTATTAATATAAAAAGGAAATGTGTTTAGAAAAACAGTTTTATGTACAAAGAATTAGATTATTTGTTGTAAAATGTTGTTGTCTGATAGTTAAAGCAGTAGCGTACGCAGGGGGGAGAAGGGGGAGCGGCCGCTTCCCCCCTCCCCCCCCCCCCCCCCCCCCCCCACCTGGCCATTTTCAGCAAAGTGGCGCCTTTTTGGAAACTTTTAAACTCAAAGTTTTAAATGATGATATTTGTTAGAAAAATTATTTTTGGTCGGCACATCTATGTAAACACAAGATTTCTTTTCATGCAGCAATTAAGCATAATAGTAATAGACTAGTAGAGTCTACGTGTACAACACGTATTAGCAGTTGTGTCAGTTTATCATTCTAAAAATAAGCATTACGATGCATTGCAATGTTTAAAAAAAAACCTCTACGGGTAGTACCACTTGGCAAGAGGGGTGTTAAGTTTAAGGCAACTGTATAATGTATTTGCTTACGAATAATTGAATTAGAAAATGTTATACATAAAACTTCACACATAATTAATTTATATACACAGTTTGAATCGTGTAATTTATTTTTTTGAAATTACAATACAGACACAAATACATCTGATGTGGCACCTCCATTTAAATTTACTTATGGGCGAACTGCGTAGCTGTGGGGAAACTTTGACAAGGTCAACAACGTCATCACGATGAAGTAGTAGTATTATAACAGTTTGGGTGATAGTGATTACGATTACAAATTAAATGAAACCGTATCAACTTTATATTAATTATCTGTTTAGTTTACAAGATCTAGATCTATATTAAATAATGCTATATTTTGTATTAAAAACAACAACTCAACGCTAACACTGATCGCACAGTTAATTATCCGCTCAGCTCAGTGGCGTAAGCGGGTTAGGTGGTTACAACCCCCCCCCCCCCCTCACCTATGGATCCCTCTGTAAAAAATATCTTCTTCTTCTTGTTTGGGGTTTAAAGTCCGCTTTCAAACTTACGATTATATCGCAGACTGTGTTTTTGGTGGTTAGTTCGTGGTTTTTGTGTATGTACATTTTAGTTTCATTTGTTTTCCTTTCATTTTTGGATGTGGTTTTTTATTGTGCGAGATTTGTATTTTGTTATTGGGTGAATATTATTTTATCTTTACAGCTTGTTAGATTGATTCTTTTGTTTTGTGCACATATTTTTTTACCAGGCTATGCAGAGTGGATGGGGCGTCCATAGCCAGTAATATTTCTGTTGTTAATAATGTGTTTTTGTTTGTCTGGAAGTAGTTGATGAGTTCTTTTCTTTGATTGTTGTATGCCTTACAGTGTATTAGGTAGTGGTCTATTGTGTTTTTTTCATTGCATGTGTGGCACCATTTCTTTGTGTGAATTAAGGCGGCTGATCCTAGACGCAGCCTTGTAATTTTTTTTATTAATGGGTAGCCTTTGGTCTGCTGTAACCTGCAGTCTCCCGTCGGGTGGACGCAGTATGTTGTGGGCGTGCCTACCCTTGTTGCTTGCATTCCATTTTTGTATCCATTCTTCTTTTATTTATTTCTTTATAGTGGCCTTCATTTCGGAATAGCCAATTCCCGTTTCCACAATTGCTCTGGATTCCACTCCCTTTTTTGCTGCTTTGTCGGCATACTCGTTTCCTGGTATGCCGATATGGGAGGGAATCCAGATCATTTGAACCGAGCGTCCCCTTTGTTTCATCTCGGTACATGTGTGTAGAATCTCTTCTACTATGTCGACTCTGCAGCATTCTCCCCCTTTAATGGCCTGTAATGCTGATAGGGAGTCGGTTAAGATGCAGATACTGGTAAGGGTGGTTGTTGGCATATACTCGAGGGCCATGAGGATGGCCGTTAGTTTTTTTCTGAATCACTTTATATGTGTAATTGAATAGGTATGTTTAAAACAGTCATTTAAAAACTAAAGTGACTGGACAGTGGTTAATGAAGTTGAACCCCCCCTCCCCCAACTCACCCCGCACTGATCTGTTAAGTACATTTGGGAAAACGCGTAATGGTGTACCAAAGAACATGCCGCCAGAATCATAGCTTTTGAAACGTAAAACTCTGTGAATATTGTTTTTGCAATTACCAGTAAAAAGGTGTGAGCAATTCAGTGATCTAACCCACACATTATCATTATGTTAAAAAATTATCTTTAAAGAACACAAAAAGTCAGTAGCTAATCAAAGAATGTATGATGTGAAATACATAGACCAATAATTTAGTTATAAGTAGGCTAATATTTCAATATTGAAAAGCTTGGTTTTATACCAACTTTGATTTTAAAAAGTTTCATTATGCTGTAATAATTTAGCATTTATGATGAGAATATATTTAATGCTGATTGTAGACAAGATATTTTTATAAAAACCGAATAGTGTTTGGCAACTTTATTACATTCCAAAGTAATTATTGATTGGTTTTGATATTTATAATGAAATGTGTATACATATACATATTTATATTAACAGAGGGATTATTTCCCCTATTTCGCTTGTCTTAATTAATGTCCCAGGAATTATTGTGTAATTTCTTTTTACAAAGATTACAAAACGGATTATGTTGCGTTCATTGTTTTTTGTTGTAGTGTGTGTATATTTTTGTTTAGAATGATACATTTTTTGTTTTGTCGGCTAAATTTTTTTGTTTTGTCGGCCTACATTGTGTATATATATATATATATATATATATATATATATATATATATATATATATATATATATATATATATATATATATATATATATATTACAATTCGGCGACTTTTTTGCTATTTTCGCTTCCCCTATACCGAAAACCTGGATACGCCTCTGAGAGAAAGTAAACAATTAAATGACATTGTAGTTATTTTCGTCATCATAAAAAAACCCACAACAGATAATATAAAATAAGAATTTTATATAAAGTCGCCATATCATTTAATGTTATTTTTATGTAAAAAAATCAATTAGATACACAAACAAATCAAAAGAGTGAACTAATATGATTCTACCAAAATCTATGAAGAGATTCGAATTAAAGTAAATAAACCGGGAGTGATCTCAACTAAGTTTTCTCGAATATTCTTATATGAAACAACAGAGGATGGCAACTCGGGATACAGACATGATTTTTAATCCATATTTTACTTTCTCGTATATACGAAGTATAGAGAAAGTCTTGTAATCGTGCAAAAAAAAATATCGAGATTTTTACAAATCTCGACGTTTTACAGCTCCCTAAGTCGAAAAAACATAGTTTTGCAATCTTGTCCGTATGTCTGTGTGTGTGTGTGTGTGTGTGTGTGTGTGTGTATGTATGTGTGTGTGTGTGTGTCTGTAAACACGATAACTTGAGTAATGTTACAGCTAGTTGATGAAATTTCATATATAAGTATTTTATCAAAATCGTAGATCAGTATCAACTTTTGAGCAATTTCCGATAACCAGAAGTGGTACTTTTTCTACTTTGCATTTTTCAAAAGCCTATCACTTGAGTACAATTTCAGACAGATAAATGAAATTTCACATGTAAGTAAAAGATCTAATTCTCTACATTCTGTCAAATTTTGAGTAATTTTCGTTGACCGGAAGTAGTAATTTATACTTTTTCACAAGTAAGTAAAAGATCTAATTCTCTACATTCTGTCAAATTTTGAGTAATTTTCGTTGACCGGAAGTAGTAATTTATACTTTTTCACAAGTAAGTAAAAGATCTAATTCTCTACATTCTGTCAAATTTTGAGTAATTTTCGTTGACCGGAAGTAGTAATTTATACTTTTTCTGATTTCTTAGAAAACCAATGTAAATTTATAAAGTACTAATAATATTGCGCACTATTATGCACATTTTATTTGGCGTTAACTTGGTGTGCAATTCTATTTTCTAGAAATTTTATTCCATTTTAAAAATTTTAAATATTTAAAATGAATTAAAAATCATGTCTATATCCCGAGTTCCCATCCCCTGTAGTTTTTATAGAAAAAAAGAATTGCACACCAAGTGAACCCAAAACAAAATGTATATAATAGTGCGGAATATTATTACTACTTTATAAATTACTATTTCCGGTCAACGAAAATTACTCACAATTTGATAGAAGGCAGAGAATTAGATCTTTTACTTACATTTGAAATTTCAATTATCTATCTGAAATAGTACTCGCGTTATAGGCTTTTGAAAAATTCAAATTAGAAAAGGTTCCATTTCCGTTTATCGGAAATTGCTCAAAAAGAAAAGCAGGCTGAAATCGGCGTCAATGGCCTCAATGGCGCATAACCAGTTGACACGTAACGCTTAATTGTGTTGGAGGCGTGGTCGAGTCGGCAAAAAGCTCATGGTTGATAAATTCGAACAAAGTCTCGAATTCAAACGCACTGGCAGATAAATCTCGATCACATTTAACACTAATAATTAAGAACGAAGAAGAAGAAGAAAGAAAAGCTCAAAAGTTGATACGTATCTACGATTTCAATATAATAATTATATTTAAAATTTCATCAACCTAGCTGTAACGGTACTCAAGTGACACCCGACCTAGAGACGCCACTTCTATGTAGTGTTAACTTTATTTTGAACAAATGACTAAAGAATGGAAAATATAACAAAAATGTAAACCCTTATGATAACAAGTTTTTAAATGCACTGAAAATAAAATAAACTGGCCACTCTAATAAAAGCTTTGGTCACTGAGAGATCTCATGACAGACCAAAGCTTTGATTGTAGTTTAATTCTCTTAGTGTCAGTGCTTGTTGGTATAAAGGCTTTTATACTTGGTTTATTTTCTCCTTTAACTTTAAACTGCATTTTGCACTTATTGTACTCACCGACACACTGATTCCCAACCAACTTAGTGTTGTACGGACAGTAGCACTGCTCTGTTGGAGTGACCTGCCCTGGAAGAGTTATCTTCCCACATAAGCCAGGACAAGCACCGGTGCATGGTCTACTTGAGTCAGCTTAAAAGTTGTAAAAAAAAAATTTCATAAAAACTTTAAAACTAGAGTAAATGAATAGTTGCTTTTAAAATTATGCCACGGGACTGCTATGCTACTGAGCAAAGATTAAATGGTGAGTACATATACATTTATATACAAATACATATATAGATATAGGCCTACACATACACATGCACATGCACATGCACGTACAGGTACACGTACACTTACACGTACACATATACATACACATAAATACACATATACATATCCGACTTTATTTACTCTTATTCCTAACCCTTAAATGCATGACATTTTAATAATGATTGAAATAAATATTTTTATATTGTTTTGGTGGGTATATGAAGAGTATTGTCAAGAAAAAAAATATTTTTAGTTTAAACATGTTCTTTAATTAAAATCCGAATTGTTGCATGTCTGCAACATTATGTAGTCAGGTGATACTTTTTAAGACAGTTGTTGATCTTGTTACAACAAAGATATATGTTGCACTTGTGGCAAACTGTTTGAGCTTGATGTGAATTTGCACCTGTCACTGCACTATTCCATGAGACTTAGCGTCCACACTGGTCCAGGAGATCCAGGGTCCACACAGGTCCACAAGATCCAGGGTCCACACTGGTCCAGGATATCCAGGGTCTATTCTGGTCCTAGAGATCCAGGGTCCACACTGATCCAGGGTCCACACTGGTCCAGGAGATCCAGGGTCCACACTGGTCCAGGAGATCCAGGGTCCACACTGGTCCAGGAGATCCAGGGTCCACACTTATCCAGGGTCCACACTAGTCAAGGATATCCAGGGTCCACACTGGTCCTGGAGACCCAGGGTCCACACTGGTCTTGTAGATCCAGGGTCCACACTGGTCTTGTAGATCTAGGGTCCACACTGGTCCAGGATATCTAGGGTCCACACTGGTCCAGGAGATCCAGGGCCCACACTGGTCCAGGAGATCTAAGGTCCACACTTATCCAGGGTCCACACTAGTCAAGGATATCCAGGGTCCACACTGGTCCAGGATATCTAGGGTCCACATTGGTCCAGGGTATCTAGGGTCCACACTGGTCCAGGATATCTAGGGTCCACATTGGTCCAGGATATCTAGGGTCCACACTGGTCCAGGATATCTAGGGTCCACACTGGACCAGGATATCCAGGGTCCACACTGGTCCAGGAGATCCAGGAAGATACTCTGGATCACCAAGAGCATCTACTTCATATTATTCTTCACCTTGATTCACCTTTGATCTCTTAATGATTATGCTGAAACTAGAAGAAAAACAAGGTACTATATAATCACCAATGCTGATGTATTAAGTAAAAAAATAGTGCAAAAGTAGGTCAACATGCATAACGTTGCAGTACTGCAACCAATGTTTTGTGAAGGTTTATAAATAAATTAGGAATTGATTTTCAAAACAACACATACAATATGTAATACATACCTTAGGTTGTCAGAAACATATTTTTAAAATTCCAAAACCAGTTTAGTTGACTTTGATGAACTTTGAAACGCCAACCAAAAATGCTGAGATAAAAAACCTTGTGACCATGCACAAATTTGAGATCGGCTTGGCGGTAAAACAAATCTATGTCACTTAGACATGCCCAAGCTGTAGTTTAACATTGTAGCAGTCAAACAACGCGATGCACAGAATCAAACATGTTTAGGCTAATAATTTAAGGGAAGGTAACTGGTATGTTGCATGTCTGTAGCGATATGCATTTAAGGGCTAATATTAGTAGCTACTGTTCTGTTATTATTGGTATTGGCTACCTTCGCAAGCTCCAGTAACAGGATTTTTCACTAATCCAGCTTGGCAATCACAATCAAAACCTCCAATATTATTCCTGCACACTTGATAATTTCGTGGACAAGCTTCAATGAGGGGATCAGCACACTCGTCAACGTCGGTTCCACAGGTAGGTGACGTCCATCCTTTCTTACAGGTGCACGAGCCGTTAAAGTTGTTACAATACACAGTGTGTTCAACCACACAGCCACAGTTTTGTGTACATCTTTCTGGACCGTAAGTCATTGGGGGACAAGCTAAATAAATGTATGAACAAATAGAGTAAACTATAAGAATAATAAGCTGCAAAACTAATTTTTCAACTAGTGTACTGGCTAGAACTGCAGTCAAAAATGTGTAGGCCAATAGATTTTGGTAGATAATATTTATTGAAAGCTTTAGCTAGACATATTTGTATTGAAGGTTTGAGAAATTAAAATTAACAGAAATTATTACAAACTATATATTGTTTTATAATTACTTTTTACTTTCTCGTATATACGAAGTATAGAGAAAGTCTTGTAATCGTGCAAAAAAAATCGAGATTTTTGTGTCTGTCTGTGTGTGTGTCTGTCTGTGTATAAACACGATAACTTGAGTACCGTTACAGCTATGTTGATGAAATTTCATATATAAGTATTTTATCAAAATCGTAGATCCGTATCAACTTTTGAGCGATTTCTGATAACCGGAAGGGGTCCTTTTTTTACTTTGAATTTTTCAAAGCCTATAACTTGAGTACTATTTAAGATAGACAAATGAAATTTCACATGTAAGTAAAATATCTAATTCCCTACCTTCTATCAAATTTTGAGTAATTTCCGTTGACCGGAAGTACTTATTTACGCTATTTCCTATTTCTCAAAAAAACGCATGTAAATTTATAAAGTACTAATAATATTGCGCACTATTATGCACATTTTGTTTTGGCGTTCGCTTGGTGCGCAATTCTTTTTTCTATGAGATTCTATTCTATTTTTAAAAGCTTAAGTAATGAAAATCATGTCTATATTCCAAGTTATATAAGAATATTCGAGAAAGTTTTGGGGAGATCACTCCCGGTTTATTTTAAAACATTATTGTGCAAACAATTTTATTACGCTAGACGATAACACTTTTAAATATATATGAAATCAAATAAATTGCACTTTTAATCGCTCCTTCCAAATTTAATTAGATTACTATTGACAAAGTCAAGTTCCAAATTTAAAATTATGACTATTTTAATGGTATTTTATTTACCATTGACGAATAAATGTTTTTAGTTTAATTTTTCATCTTACAAATTAGTTAAAAATAAATTTTTCACTAAAACATAATCATTGGCTAATTATGTTTGATCAAAGTAATTCACCATGAGTCCAGTAGTTGGCCAAGAATCCTTGTCTCTGATTGTAAGCGTCTGATGTAAAATTAACATAAACTTTATTTGATGTTGAACGCACGTAAAAATCAGCCAGTCCCGTTGATGTGTTGGACCTGCATAGCTGCCGTATAACAGGTGATCGTATGCTGTCTCCGCCATAAATAACGACATAATCTGGGCACGCGTCCACGTAGCCATCGAAATCTACAGTTTTGAACCTGTTTGAAAATTAATCCAATGTATTTCTTATTTTAGTCTTTACGTCTGTTACATAAATTATACGAAATGATAAGACATAAGCACAAAAAAATCAGGAAGTTGGACTGTTTCTCTTAGGGGCTAAGCGAACATATTCCATTGCGATTTTTATTTTTGTTTGAACGTCAATATCACAAAAATATATACTATTTTTTTTCGGACCTTTAGGGATCGTCAGTGGCGTCGCTAGGTCGGGTGTCACCCGGTGCGGCACTTCATGGTGTCACCCCCCCCCCCAAGAAAAAAGTATATATATATATATATATATATATATATATATATATATATATATATATATATATATATATATATATATATATATATATATATATATATATATATATATTAAATATGTTTATATATATTCTGTTATTGGATGCAGCATTGTTTTCTCTACCGTTAGCACGTTTAAGTCATGGTTTCACCCCCACCCTCTGTAATAATTGTAAATGTGTACTTTCTATTTAACTTTACTCAACCATTAATGGTACTGGCAAAAGAGCATTTTCTCCAATACATTTTGCAATTTTTTGCATTGGTGTCACCCCCCTAAATAGTGTCACCCGGTGCGGTCCGCATCTCCGCCCCGCACTTGCTACGCCTCTGGGGATCGTGTGTAATTACAAGTCAAAGTATGTAACTAACTCCGCTGTAGCAGACGAGATTTTGTCTACAAGCTAACAGCCCATAATATGCGTCAGCTGCTATAGAAACACGGGAGACACACAGCCCTGAGTTAAAATGAATTTCCATTTGGACATCAGTACAGCCTCTCTTTCCCACATTCTTCCCCTAAGTGCATCGCACCACTGGGCTAGGGCGTGAGGGGGGGCCTTCTGTTTTCAGCCCGCGTTCAGAACGTATTATTTTTTAAGCTAGCAGATGCGTGTTCTAACGTTAAACATGCCCCAACTGAGAGACCGATTGCCGAAATAAAAAACTTTGTTATTTACTCTTTGTGGTAAATAAAATTATTGGAACGGTAACGAAGTGGTACATCATTATTAATATATATTTTTAAAAACGCGAAAAGACAAACTTGAACTTACTCAAGATTTATAATCTCGTTTGGCTGAGCTGTGATTGTCCAGTTACATCTGGCATTGTTGGGGTAGATGCTGGGGTAGTTTGGTGACGATATAGTCCCGCCTGGTCCGACAAGAATTCCACCGCATTCTGGCGACAAGAAACTGGCATTACTGAAACAGTTATACTTACATGTGCTAGAAATAGTTTAAGCATAAACTTTGAGGTCCTTCGTTAAAAAAAAAATAATTACAAATTCCATTTGTAATGAATTTTTAGTTTTCGTCTCTGTTACATGTGATACTTAAACCAATAGTCCTATGGTAAAATGTTTAAAACCTTATAATGAATTATATTCAAAACCAAAAAAATGAAAATACAAGATCTACAATGCTAAAATCACGATGGCATTTTATGAAGCCTTTTCGTTACATCATCAATTTTACTTTTCTTATGACTGTATAACTGACTTGCTTCACTAGCCAATTCAAACTCTTATGGATAAACGCCTATTTTTTTAAATCCAATCTGAATTCCTGATTATTACCAACTATACCTACATCATTACTTCTAAAACTGATTTTAGTTAAATTTTATTTAACTAAATTCGTTTTAAATTGTTTTAATTTTTTAAACTATTTAGTCCTTTGTGCTCACCTGTAAAAGTCTGACCAACAACGAAATTGGCCAAGCTAATCAGAATGCAGAAAGTTACCACTCTAGAAATTCGCATTTTGGAAAAGCTGGGGAAAAAATAAATACCAAATACATTCGTTAAATTCTACTTTTATGTTTATAATTTTAAAAAGAACATTATGTCATGAAATACAAGCATTTGAAAATCCGTTGTACAGTTTTAAGACTTAAAGTTTAAATGGAGCTTATACCTGACCAAATGCGAAAGCATTGGGTTAGGAGTGAGTTTAAATAGGGGATATGAGATATCTTGCTCCAGTTTTCAAAGGCCTTTCCATAAAAACACGGATCTTCCTGGTTCTTATGTAAAATGTCAATACCAATTTTATTGACATTAGTATAGTAAGTCCGGTAACTCTACCTACTTGGTAGACGAATATATCTCAAATTTCCAACAGATGAAAGAAATACGAATACTGTGGCCGCGATACATAATTTAAGTAAACTGGTTGAAGAGTCGTTGCAGTAGGGCGTATTCGCTGCACTATAGCAAGAGTTTAAATGTATTTACTCATATGTTAGTGTTCGAAATGTATGATTTTCTGAATATCAATGTATCTTGTGTAGACTTGGTTGTAATAGTATCTTAGCGTATAAGTACAAGGATGTCGCTAAAAATATGTAAAATATCTCGTGATTGACCAAAGCTTATATGATTGAAGCAAAATTCATTTATTTTATTATAAAGTTTTTTTATGTGTTTTATTATAAGTATTTAAATGGTTTACAACGTCTCCTATTTTAAAACTTTATTTAGTTCCAAGCATCTGTTAATGGGTTGTGGCTCAATTTTAACCCACTTATAATGAAGCGATTTCGTTCAAACTTTCCAGATCAGTCGCGTAGCGAGGGGGGGGGGGGGCGGGGGGGGGGGACATATGTCCCCGGGCGCCGACCTTAGGGGGCGCCAAAATGGGTTGAAAAAAAATAAATTGAAAGGTGGAGGGGGGGGTGCGAATCGAAATCTCGAGGGGGGTGCAAATCGAAAGTTTGACGGGGGGGGGTGCAAAAAATCGAAAAGTTTGTCCCCGGTCGCCGGGAAGGGTCGCTACGCCTCTGTTCCAGATACCTTCTTCATCTATGATAATATAAAGAAATCTAATTTTTAATCTAATCTGATTGACAATTCATCACTACAATTTAACTTTTACTTAATTAGTCTGCTTTCAACGATGAACTGTTTTTCACAAGTGATTAAATTTTAGTCTGAGCGTCGACCACAAACTAAGAAGGGCAGATAACTGTATTTAAGAGATTGTGAGATACTGATCGGGTTTTAACGCAGAGATGTTTTTAGTTCTGACATAAGATTTACTAAAAAGTGGAAAATAAACAAATAGAATCTATTTTAAAAATCTTAATAGGTCTGTATTATAGTTTTTTAATGCACTAAAAATAAGTAAATAAAACTTGATTTCTTTAATTAAAAGCTTTGGTCACTAATATAGAAGATCTCAAGAGCGAAGAATACTTTTATTAAAGAAAGCAAGTTTGTTTCGTTTTCTTCTTTTCAGTTAATTTATTTTATTCTTTGTTTGATTCTTTGTTTGTTAATGGGATGTGGAAAATTTTGTAACTAAATTTTGACCCTTTTCTAATGCAGCAATTGCGTAAATTATTTCCAGATACATTAGTCTTTGGTGACAATGAAATAATATCTATTTTTTTTAATCGAATTAGAATTTTGGTTATCCATTTTCAATCATTTTGGATTAAGTTAAAAAATAACTTAATTTTATAATAAAATGGGAGAAAACAAAATTAAATATTAGCGATTGCTCTATCAGTTGGATGTCAACGGTGAAGAATTTTTCCACGGCTGGGTGATTTATTTGCCTTAGTGTCAACCACGAAATAATAATGGGCAGAAAACTGTCCTTTAGAGATTGCAAGCTACTGATCAGATTTTAAAGCAAATATTCTTAGTCGTAGTCTATGTTGTGTCAATTTCATTTAAAACGAATTACTAAAAAGCGGAAAATAAAACAAATCTAAATAGTTCGTTGAGGAAGAAATACAACGGGCGCTAGTTTGACAGTGTTGTCTTTTTCTCTAAACCGAAACCAAAATCACCACCTCAACTTCACATTTAACCGGAAAAGAAAAGGTTTAACCATGATCTTCACGTAGCTACCGCACATTCATACTAATTATAGTCGTAGTCATACCCTTAAACCTTGCACCGAAGCTCAAACTTGACAAAAGTCCCATTAAGGGTTTCTTTCAGGCAACTCTTCGGGGAGGGGGGGGGGGAGAGGGCTGAATAACGTCTACCGCCCCAATAACAAAATAGAATTTATATAGAAAATATACTTTACCAGTGTCCGCCCCCTTCCCCTGAAAATTTAGTTCACCCCCCCCCCCCCTCCTCCGACAATTTTAAGTGCCCCCCCTCCCCAAAAAAAAGTCTGAAAGAAACACTGGTCGCATTTGTAGATCATACATACTAAAATTGGACCCTACTTCTATAATCTAAACCAGTTTCCTACTTTTGGTCGCTAAACCTAAATTGAATTCTCCGTGGGAGGTAGTGATCTGACAGTTGTAAAAGTATATATTTCTATATAACTTGTATTTTGTTCGGTGGTGGGGATGGCGGACGTTAGACGTTCTTCGCAAGGTGGGGTAGGGGGGGGGGGGGGGGGTTCTATTTCCAAAAAATCGAATAATTTGCATTTTCGAGCCTCTGGCTATTATCATCTTGTTAACTCTTAAAACATCCTGCATTTTTTAATGTCCTATTTTTACTTCCATCTTAAATAGATCTTTCAAAATTGAGCTACCGTGGCAAAAGCCTAAATCAAACAACGTTGCACTATACCTACTGTGGTAACCTACATTTACCTGCGTAGTGAGGTCTAGGAAGTTTGATTACCCTAAGATTCGTGCTGAAATTATAGGCTTCAAAGAATAAATTATATCTAGGTGTTAGTGTTTCTTTCCGACCTTTTTCACCATGGGAGGCACTTGAAACTTTTGGGGGGGGGGGCGAACTTAAATGTTCGGGGTGTTTGGTGGACAACGGACAGCGTATATAATATTTTTATACAGAATTTTTAATAAGTTAGTATATTTTTATAATTTCGTTCCTGTGAGAGAGGGGCTAGGTTGATTTGCTGTCGGGGGGTGGGGAGTGGGAGAGATGCCCAAATGAAATTCTGAAGCTAGCCTATATATGCAGTTACATAATTCTATTTAATTAGAATAAATGTGCGGAATATTTGAGAGAACCATGTAGTTTTAGTGGTGAGTTAGGTTGAGATTAAATCACTCTTGTTTTACAAAGTAATTAACATTTAATGAAAAACGTTGTGTGCTTTAAGTTTTTACTTTCTCGTATATACAAAGTATAGAGAAAGTCTTTTAATCGTGCAAAAAAATCGAGATTTTTACAAATCTCGACGTTTTACACCTCACTGATATGGAAAATCATAATTTTGCAATCTTGTCCGTATGTCTGTGAGTGTGTGTGTGTCTGTGTGTCTGTGTGTGTGTAAACACGATAACTTGAGTACCGTTACAGCGAGGTTGATGACTTTTCATATATAAGTATTTTATCAAAATTGTAGATCCGTATCAACTTTTGAGCGATTTCCGATAACCGGAAGTGGTACTTTTTCTACTTTGAATTTTTCAAAAGCCTATAACTTGAGTACTATTTCAGATAGATAAATGAAATTTCACATGTAAGTAAAAGATCTAATTCTCTACCTTCTGTTAAATTTTGAGTAATTTCCATTGACCGAAAGTAGTAACTTTCACTCTTTCCGATTTCTCAAAAAACGCATGTGAATTTATAAAGTACTAATAATATTCCGCAGTATTATACACATCTTTATTCGGCGTTCGCTTGGTGCGCAATTCTTTTTTCTATAAGATTCTATTCAATTTTAAAAAGTTTAAGTATTTAAAATGGATTAAAAATCGTAACTATATCCCGAGTTCCCATCCCCTGTTGTTTTATATAAGAATATTTGAGAAAGTTTAGGGGAGATCACTCCCGGTTTATTTGTTTTATATGACCGTCTGAAGTTAATGAAGTAATGTTGGTTTCTTCTCTTTCGTGAGACAACACGAAATTGATATATATTAACAATAATAGCTAATTATTTCTTTGTTTTATTTTCGTGTAAAACAGCATTCAAGAAAACATCGGTTTTCACTAACTTCTGTTTTTATCAACTCCAGTTGTCGTAAATTTGTTCTTCTATTTATTATCTGTCATAACGAAATATTCGTTTCGGTTTGCTGGTTTTTTGTAGGTTAGGTCGGATTTTGTCGACATGGCGGGGAGTAACAAATATGATACATCACAGTTAATTTTCAGAAATCTGTAATTCGGATGTAGGCTATACTGGAGCATGACGTTACGCCTAGTGAATAAGCAAGTGGGACATTACACCTTGTCGACAAAAAATGTACCCTAAATAAACCGGGAGTGATCTCCCCTAAACTTTCTCGAATAAACAACAGGGGGATATAGACATGATTTTTAATCCATTTTTTATTACTTATTATACTTTTGAAAATAGAATAGAATCTCGTAGAAGAAAAGAATTGCACACCAAGTGAACGCAAAACAAAATGTGTATAATAGTGCGGAATATTATTACTACTTTATAAATTCACATACGTTTTTTTTTTTTTTTTTTTTGGGAAATCGGAAATATCGAAAATTGCTACTTCCGACCTACGGAGATTACTCAAAATTTGACGGAAAGCAGAAAAATAGATTTTTTTACTTACATGTGAAATTTTATTTATTTATCTAAAATAGTACTCAAGTTATAGGCTTTTGAAAAATTGAAAGTAAAATAAGTGCCACTTCCGGTAATCGGAAATCGCTCAAAAGTTTATACCGATCTACGATTTTGATATAATACTTATATTTGAATTTTCATCAACCTAGCTGTAACGGTACTCAAGTGATCATGTTTACACACACACACACACACACACACACACACACACACACACACACATACAAACAACATTGCAAAACTAAGTTGTTTCGACTCAGGGAGGTGTAAAACGTCGCAATTTGCAAAAATCTCGATTTTTTTTTTTTACTTTTTTTTTTTTTTTTTTTTTTTTGCACGATTACAAGACTTTTCTCTATACTTCGTATATACGAGAAAGTAAAAAACTACCGACGCCCTTGGAAGTAAATGTAGACCTACTCCGTAAATATAGGCCTTATTTTTACAGTGGTATCCTATTCGAAAATTGTAAGGCACTGTCGTCACGCCCAATACTCTTTTCGTGTTTTTTTTTTTTTAAATAGTGTTTAAACAGCAAATATATTTTTTAACGGGGAGGCCGTTGAACTACAAGACGATCATAAAGAACCCGGATGTCGTTTTATAAAAGATTCCGTTCACGTTCTGACACATCCCGCAGGTAAGCTCGATAATTGACATTAAGCATCATCAAACAGAAACGTTCAAACAAGCTCAAGCACTTCGTATCAGGTGCAAGACAGGGGGTCTGGGTAGGGGAAGGGGCGGACGGTGAAAAACATCACATTTAAATATTCGGAAGTGGGTTAAAATAGTGTATGTTTTGTCATATTAAATTAAATATTTATCATTTCAAGAATTATTGCGTACATTCCTAGATTTAAAAAAAAAATTTAATGAGCATATTTAAGAACTATTGTTTTAGTCGCGTTAACAATAGGAACCACATACATTATGATAAAAGATTGTATCGTGAGATTGATTAAAATCAACATAATGACACGAAACTTAGCAAACATCTGACCGATGTCCTAGATTTATTGTTCCCTCTGATGTCCTAGTTTTATGGTTCAAATAAATGGCCTAGCTTTATTGTTCTGACGGATGGCCTAGTTTTATTGTTCTGACGGATGGCCTAGTTTTATTCTGACGGATGGCCTAGTTTTATTGTTCTCCTGCACCGTTTATTCAGTGCTAAACAAATTAACTCCCCTGCACCATTTATTCAGTGCTAAACAAATTAACTCCCCTGCACCAGTTATTCAGTGCTAAACAAATTAACTCCCCTGCACCATTTGTTCAGTGCTAAACAAATTAACTCACCTACAAAATTTATTCAGAGCAAACAAATTAACTCTCCTGCACAGTTTATTCAGTGCTAAACAAACTGACTACACACTCGTCCCCCTGTTGTGTTGCTGTTACTACTATAACACTATTCTTTATTTCCACTTTTTGAGTGCTTTACTTTTTTAAAAACAAAATTGTAATTTCTTTTTTGCTATGATTAAATATATGAATGGCCCCGCAAAAATCATATAACTATAAATTTAACCATTAACAATAGACAGAATAAATCACATGAACACTAGGTATAATTTGGAAAAAAACTAAGTAGTGCATAGTATTAAATTTATTACATTTTTTAAAATGCATTCAAGTTATTAAGACATATTGATTTACTTTTTAACAAGGCATCTGTATTTACATACTATATAACTAAGACTCCACTCAGGGAGAGAAAGAAACAAAAGATATTTTGTGTAGTTACAGTGTACCATAATTTTGTTAGCAATTTTTTTTCAATTAAATTCAAATTAAAAAATAAAAATTTACTTTGGTATTCTGCTGAAATTAAAAAAAAATGTCTTTAAAAATATAAATCACCAGTAGTTATCTAAATACATCTTTTAAAACAACTAGTCCAAGGCATTTGATTCAAAAGATGTATAGAAATAGCATTTGCTTGCAACATTTCATATGATAAAATATTTTAGTTATTAAAGATAAATAAACATCTCAGTCTTAATCAATGACATAGAATATGCATATATAAATATATATAAATACAATTTTTGCTTTTAAGAATTTATTTTTTAAATTAATTGAGGATTTTAATAAACCATCCATTTACTCATTAAAGTTCAACGAGTTAGCTGCATAAACTGATGAATTTCATAAAACTTATCTCTCACATAAAACAGAAGCAGTTTGTAATTAAAAATATCAATCTACTTAATATAGTTGGTGGTTTGACATTAAAAATATCTATATACTTATTTTTGCATTTGCTAGCTGCACTTGCTCTGCTTGAGCCAGATAAGGCGAGAAGATGGTAGTGAGATTAGGACATATTTTTCACACAAACATCAACAACGGTCGAAATGTCTAAAGTAGAATGGATGTAAAATTGTGTAAGTAAGGGCAAACCCAGGAAGAAACAAATCCATGAGTTTGCTGAACTAAAAGCATATTACTGGTATAAACTGCAGAACACAATTCTAGTTAACGAATATATGCTATAAAAATACCTCAACAAAAATGCAAACTTTTAAAATAAACTAGTCAAAGAAATGATCATATATAGGTCAGTATGTCTAAATCTATGTTTACAATTCATAGCAGGTAAACAAGTGATATACATGTTTAGCTTGATTCATTGAGCAAGCACTTAGAGGTATAAACCACTTTAGCATAAGAGCTTAACAGTATGTTATATGTGAGGATAACACCATTGAAAATAATGAATTGACTTTGGTGGGAAATGTAAGGCATAAAAAAAAAATCTTTAGTGTAAATAGTAATTAACATTAGAATAAGAATATTTTATTAGCAGTTTGAAAGATCGTTACTACTAACATAACACACACTATTTGCTTTTGATTGATTTTATGTGACTATAGTAAGATAAATGCATGTGTGTCTGTCTGTGCAAATGCAAGTTTTTATAATTATGTTTATGCGCGAGTAATGAACCTAACAAATACTAAAATAGATCTTTCAAAAACTTATAAAAGTTTTTAATTTTGAAATTTAAGAATAAAAATTACCCTAACTTGTTCAAAACATCAAGTATAAGAAAGAATTGAAAGCCCTTAATAGTAATAGAGATCATACAAATGGTGGAGTTTTAGTTTCAGAAAGAAGTGAAATAACAATTGGCCAATAACAGACTTAAATTTACTGTAGAAAAAAATGGGGTGTAAAACACATAAAGGAAGTGTCTTTAAAAAAAAATTATGTCATGAATAGTTACATCACAATTTCATAATACAGTTGGATTATGAGCTTCCAATTAAATCCAATCTATTTAAAAATAAGTTGTACATGGACTTTTAACATGAAATATTCATCACCAGGTACAAGGGTGACCCAACTTCATAATTACTGTCCAAGTTTGGCACAATTCAACATACTAATACATACATAACATATCGCTGGCCTCTGTCTGCACCAAACCTTACAACTAATTGCACAAAATTTCCTCAATGAAATATAACTGATGTAAAAATAACACAACAACAAATTACAACTTGTGTTCCATATTTTACATGTTACATGAATTTTACAGACATTAGCCATGCATACAGATTTATCAGAATCTACTTCCATACATAAAATTATGTTTCACATTAATTAGTAATAATTATCTTTCAAAGATAATTTATATCACAATTAATATCAATCAAACTGTGAGTAGAACCATGACAATGATAAATATACTGGTATCAAAACATTAACAAAGAAAACATTGGCAAGTAAAGAAAGACAGTGGCATTACATTTGGTAATGAAATCTAGAGGACAGCAATGTCTATTGGTATACAGCACACTATCTATCCCAGAAGTCATGAGATTGGTAATCTGGGGTATGAGAAAGTAGGCTTTCCCCTGAGCTGTGTGCATGTCAAGTGGTGTAATGCACTGGAGTAGGAAGCAAAAACCTAGCAGAAACCAGCTTGTCTTGCTGCTGGTGAGAGAAATGATTCTGTAGTTAGTTCAAGTCTCCCTGGCTAATGAGCACTGCTTCAGCTGGTAATGGCTACATTGGCTACATATGCCAGAGTGAATATTAAATTCTAGCTTAGATATTTTGTTTTGAAATAAGTAGATGCAGTGAAGCTGGTGGGGGTTAGCGTGGTCGGGTTGGTAAAGACCATGGTTGCTAAAACGAAAAGTCACGAGTTACAACCCCTTGCAGCTCTGAAGCTGGGGACAACAACCTATCTAGGAGAGACAACTCCAAAATCAAACAACTGCTGTCTTGTAGTTTTTTCTAGGGTGGACAAAGGCTAAGGGAGCAAATCCAAAAAGAAAAGAAAACTGAAATGGAGTCAGTAGGTCATGCTGCATATAAAATGTCTATACATAATAATTGCTTTGGAGGAAATCCTGCCCAATATTACACTGGTATTAGTAGTAATGATTGTAAATGATGGAAATAACATTATATCTACCAGTAGCTGAGAAATTTTTGTACTGGAATAAGTAGAGGTAAATTATTTAAAATTCATAAAATTGCATTTTCTTTACAAATTTAAGATACTTTACAAATTTACAAATCTATAATGTATTAAAATTTAAAAGAAATTTATCAAAGCTTTTGCACACTAACCTCATTAAAACATCTATTTACCTGTTCACAAATACTTGTCTGATCATTTAGAAGTTAATACTTAATAACTTGAAAGGATAATTATTTCAATATTCTTCATTTCATATCAACTTTCTTACTTTACAAATAGGTTTCTTTACTTTAAATATGTTAGAAAATATTGAACATTGTGAAGTAGGTTCTATGAACCTTCTCCAACAACACAAATCTTCTTTACTATCACAGACACAAATGTACACGTTTTAAAAAATCATATTTTTTTGCATGCACAGCTTGCTTAAAAAAAAAATATTCTATTTCACAATCCAGGGTCAGTAGATAAAACAGAATAATTATTATACACAAAACACTACTCATGCAAATTTTCACAACCAACCAATAATAGTGACAAACGTTACCCTTTCTGACATGGCAGTCAGTAGGGTTGAACAAATATAATTAATCTATTTCTGTGGCAATCAGTAGTGCTGAACAAATAAAATAAATCTATTTCTGTGGCAATCAGTAGTGCTAAACAAATATAATAGATCTATTTCTGCGGCAATCAGTAGTGCTGAACAAATAAAATAAATCTATTTCTGTGGCAATCAGTAGTGCTAAACAAATATAATAGATCTATTTCTGCGGCAATCAGTAGTGCTGAACAAATAAAATAAATCTATTTCTGTGGCAATCAGTAGTGCTAAACAAATATAATAGATCTATTTCTGCTGCAATCAGTAGGGCTGAACAAATATAATAGATCTATTTCTGTGGCAGTCAGTAGGGCTCAACAAATATAATTAATCTATTTCTGTGGCAATCAGTAGGGCTCAACAAATATAATTAATCTATTTCTGTGGCAATCAGTAGGGCTCAACAAATATAATTAATCTATTTCTGTGGCAATCAGTAGGGCTCAACAAATATAATTAATCTATTTCTGTGAACTATGAAAGGACAGTGTGGTCACTTCCAGGCCGTGTTGTTTTTCCTTTTCTTAACGTGAGTAAAATATTCATCAGAGCTGGGTGGACAGGGTCATCTTATGGACCTAAGCTGGTATCTATCAGGTCTGCTGCTGTGCAATCTACTGACTGCCCAGTCTCAAAATAATGATAAATCTTAAAACAATGTATGCAATATCTACCAAAACTCAATTACTGTATTATACTGTTTATCTTTTTTGTGCAAATGCACCTATAAATATTTAAAAATAAATTCTAATACATTTCTGTTTCAGAAAACTGAATCCAGACTTGATTCTGACTGGAATATAGTGTATACACTGGGAAGACCTATAGCTTCTAGTCCACTCTTAACCCATTCCCTATGTTGTGGGTTGTTTTTGTACAGATTGAGCCAGTCCAAGAAAACTAGCCTGTACTTTTCCGATGAGTCATTTACATCTTTGTGTTCATTCAATGACCTCTGAATATTAAACTGCTCATCTGGATTTTCCAACAAGTGCAAAAATCTTTCCATGTTGGGTAGACCAATCTCTGAGATAAATTGTTCATAAGGTTGGCTGATATGACGTGCGCCATCAACATAATCTCTGTCATCAGCATGTGTGCGAGCATGACCGTTGGCATGAGAGTGAGAACTGTTGACTAAAGTCCCCATTTCTGCAGCAGAATGAGCATCAGTTGTTTTGGCTTTAGATTTTCTAAAGCACAACTTTTTTTTTCTCCTGCAAATGAGAACAATAAAAACAACTGCTAAGACTAACACACCTGGTATTGTTATACTTGGCACAAGAACTGATAAGGGAGTACTTTTGTCTGCATGCCCAACATTTTGGGTAGCTTCTGTTGGACTGATAGATGAGTTGTTCAGCACTGATACAGTGGTATTTAAGCTGGGTGTGACAGTTGATACTGATACATCCTCAGATTTGAAACAATCCCAAGAGTTAGGCATGTATTCTTTAGCATAGTATCCATCTGCACATCTATATTTGTTATCAGTTTCCTTTGTTCCATTTTTATCAAGAATCCAATGCTCTCCACTTGGTTTTTTGGACCACAGTATACAAGATTTGTTCTCATGTTGCTTAAGTTCTTGGTAAGATCTGTTGTGAAATATTATCATGTTTTAAACACATTTTGTTTATAAAAAAAATTAATATTAATATAGTTACTCCAACAGTATTTAATAATGAGGCATCTTTGTAAATGTATAAATAATTTATAAACTTTATTACTGTACCCATCATCACATGGTACACAGTTATCTCCACTACATTTTTCACCAGGACCACATATCTCGGTACATTTCTCCTGTGACATTTTACTTGTTTTACCACTTGATCTGAAAGTAATAAAATAAATATTAAAGTGGTGCAGCCGTAACTCTGAGCTTATCTTTTTACTGGTGCACTTGATGTTAAAAGCAAGAAAGTCATAGATATCTAGCATATTCAAGTTTAACTAAATTAGATTAAAAAATTAAGTTCATATTTCTATCCATTAAGTTTTCATGTTTAGCTGTACTTTTCATAACTTCATTTTATAAATATAGTTTAGCAAAAAAGATATGTATACAGAAAAGGTTATTTTTACTCGCAAGATAAACTTAGAAGAAATCCAACAGCAAATTATTAAAACAACATTATTAATTTATGACATCCACACAAAAAATGTGGAATTTTAGAACCCCCTCCCACCATTCATTGTGCAGATTGACAAAACATTTAAGAACTCTCAAACCATTTTTTCAATACTAATTTGATAACGTGTAATGTAAATGTTTACATTGTAATTCTGATAGGCTACTTAATATAGTGATTTATTCTTTTCAGTAATGTCTGATATTAGGCCTAAGTATTAATTTTAATGCAGGTATAATCTAGAATGTGCTGTTGATAATAAATTTAATGTTTTATTTAAAATTTGATGGTAGAAATTTATGATAAATGCTTGATTGGTATTAATGATTTTTTTCACTATATGACTAAAAACTGAAGGCGAGTAGTTAACATTTATCTTTTGTATTGTAGAAAAACTTTTTAAATCAAGTTATTTACTGAAAATATTTTCAGCATTTATAGTAAAGCCACATCAGATTTCTTTTCTATTTCTTTCATCACTCATAATCGATTCTTATTTTCTTATTTTTAATGATGTTAAAATGTTATATAAAAGTTTTTTGTACTTCTCTCAATAATAATATTATTTGTCCAGATCAACAAAATATAGCTCTAGTTTAGTTTACAATTGATAGGTCCACCATTGGCCAAAGCAATACTTTTGTCCATCTGCTTACCTTAGCAAACCTGTAGTAACCCATTAACTTCATAAAGTCATCATTTTTAAATGTGTGGGCCTATCCTAGGTCCAGCTGTAGATCTATTTAAAAACAAAGACATTTTTTTAAAAAATAAATAGCTTACTAAAATACTGGCAAACCCACAATAATTAAATTACAACAAAACAATATGTAAAAAGGTATCAATTTTATAACAGTTCTGAATAGTGAGTCATGACTATATAAAGGCCGATGTTTGACAGAGGTTTTTTGGGCTAGGGAAAGGAAGGTTGGCTGACCTTTGGGTGGCGTAGACTGGAGAAGGAATTTCCTTTTTTTAAAAAAAAAGCTCTTTTGAGCTGCATTACTTAATTATACACAATAGAAGTTTAAAAAATAGACAGCTACTTTACTGGTTTTATGGGCTTATTTAAATGTTTTTAAACATCAGTTGTGACACCAATATAAAAACCGTTAAGGGACAGTGACTGGTAAATAGCACTCCCAATCATTTCCTTAACTGTGGGGGGAGGGGGGTTTGCCAATGTAAATAACTGTATAGGGCTTAAATGGGAAGGAGGCAGGGGCGCAAAGTTGATAGTTCGCTCAGGGTACCGGAATGGGTTGCTGTGCCTCTGAAAATGAAAGTATATGTGTGTTTGTCTTTTATGCATTACTACACCTTTCATCTGATTGCCATGAAACTTGGAGAAGTTGTTGAGAATAACCAAGAGGAGTTTCTGCCTAAAAAAAATTTCAAATTCATGTACCAAAGAAAATTGTTGAAAGTACCTAGAATTTTTTTTTTAGAAATTTTTAGAAATTCATCACACTGCTCATAAGGTTAACATTAAAAGTCCTTATAAAAATTTTCTTTAATTGTCAAGGGAGGTAATTATACATGATATTTAGGACAATGGATAACTACTTCTCAACCATACAGATAATAATTTTTAAATATTTTAATCAACATTTGTTTGATTTTCAATATTTAGTTACAATATAGATACTTATTTAAAAAACAATAGTTTCATATCAATAACATTGTTAAATATCAGCTAATATATTTTAAATAAATTTCCAATTAATCTTACTGCAATAATAGAATGGAGATAGTGGGGTATTGAGAAATTGTGTTGTCAAGCTGCTTCACATAAAAAAATTATTTTTTTAAGTAAAAGTTAGCAGTTATTAATTAGTTATCAAAATTTTTTTTTTGTAAATTGTAATAAAAATTTAGTAGTTAAATAAATACAAATCATTCTATTTGTGTAGGGCTTGAGAGGGTATACAATGTTGTGGCGTTGTAGCTGGGATTCTGACTCTAAGCAGCGGGAAATCAATTTATTTTACAATAGTGACATTTATGAATTACCCCCTACCCCGAAATACAATATTCTACTTTATTTTTGTGAAACCCTTGCAAAACGTGACTGTGAGGACTATACTAATCCGCCCCTTAGAGCAATGTTTGCCGATTTCTAATCTTAAACTTAATAAATGAACATTTGTGACCCGAGTACAGGCTTGATACTGCTTTCTTGGGGAGGGGATAAAAGTGACGTCATCTAATATCTCAAACAATAATTGTTAATGCTTTAGTGCACTGTATAGGCTTGATATCTAAACTAACGTGAAATCACCATGCACCCTCGACCGCTTCTTGTTTGGGAGGAAGGATGGAAGGTTATATGATATTGGCTATTTTTTTAATTGCATTGCTAATTATGTTACTACTACAAACATGATAATTTGTGTAGTGCTTTATTTTTTAAGTAGGCCTCTTCTTATCAAAGCAAACAAGTTACATATATCATTTAATTTATTCCGGCCCATCACGTAACTATATTAATTTTATATCAAAGACTTTCATTTTGCAAATTTCAAATTTTTGGAATGTTATACCCCCCCCCGCCCCCCCCCCCCCCCCCCCCCCCCCCCCCCCCCGTTTTGATGAAAACATTAACTAACAAAAACTTGTGCAAATTATATTATTAAACACCCTCTGTGTGTATGTGTGGGAAGTGCTAAAAGTATCAATCTCTGTAGGCTTACTAGTTGGGTCTATTTTAGTAACTGTACATTAGCATTTATAAGATAAATTACTGGCAACATCTCCTTAGGATCATGACCTTTGTGAGACTTGATGCAAAAGGGGGAGAGGAAAGTTTGATGATACACTTGTGCAATAAAGTTAGAAACTGAATTTAAGCAATTATTTCATTAAAGTTAATCAATCTAGGCCTACTCATTATTGATCGTACTCTGTAGGCCTAAATAAATGCTTTTTTAAAATTGGATTTTTTTTAAATTGTCTCGAGAGGGGGTAATCTATCGTTTTGGGTACGTAAAATCGCCCGCGGCTATTTATGTACGAAAACGTTACCTCATTGTCAAGGCTTTAATAGAAGTGTATTGTCATACTTTTGTGTCAAATATTATAGATAAATGAATAATAAACCTAAATCAATGGCTAAATATATCGATATAGGCCAGAAATTAACTTAAAACAGCAGTGTCTGAGAGCAAGATTTGCTATATAAACAGCAGCCATTTGTAAAATAGAGTGGCTTCCCCCTGAATCTGGCGCTAAAAGCTTATAAAAATAAAACTTAGACAAGATGGCTGCTATAGTAAATGAGCATGGTTGCATCTGTTGGAAACATCGCTAGTCTTCATTTATTACGGAAAAGTTTTAATTCAATTGTTTAAAAACAGGTACATAAATGAATCAAGGAAACATTTTTGAATTTTTTAAAACATAAATCCTCCACAAAATGTGAAATAATTATTAAAATTTAAGGAGTCACCTGTTTTTCACATTACAAATCGCGGGCGATTTTACGTACCCAAAACGATAGATTACCCGAGAGGGTGAGGGACTGAACTTCACTGAAGTATCACGTAATATAAACTTATTAATAATAAAGTGTTGGTTTTGCGACAACTTGTATTATTAGATCTAGAATCTAGATCTAGTCTACGTGAATCTATCAAACTTGGTTGCAGTTGTCGAAAACTAAGAGCTAACTACTAGATCTAACTAGAGATCTGGTAATCTATCATTTTGGGTGCATACAATCGGCAGTCTAATCAAGTCTCTAAGTCTAAGAGTCTAATGTCACAATGTGTCTCAAGGTAAAATCACGATATAGCGTCGATTATTATTCCGGAACTGTACAGCAGTAAAAAAAAAAAACAGTAAAACAATGGCGTAATCTGTCGAGCCGTTCCGGAAACCACCGAAAATACTGTAAACCATCATTTATCTGCCGCCATATTATTTTTAATACATAATGTTTAAAAATGTGCAAGGATTGATTTTAGTTGCATTTTAAATACTGTTTTGCTAATTATTTTGTATTTCTAATTATTGCTGCTACTAAACATTGTTCTAGTTTAACTTTAGTAGGCCTAACTAGATCTAAATCTAATCGTCTTATATGTTTATAATAATTATTTTACTAACAGAACTAAAGCTAGAAATCTAGATTCTAGATCTAGTTGTCGCAAATCTTCTGCAGGTTTTTTTCTGTGTTTCTTAAAAAAAAACATTAATTACTACACTCGACTTTATTAATAATATTTAAATTTACTAATTGTTGCTAATTTTTTGTCAATTAAACATTAAGTTAAGTTAAAACATTAATTTAATGCACTTGACTCACTTGATTTCAAAGGTCAAATAAACTATAGTTTACAGTAACGGAAGTTACCGAAACTCAACAAACATTACCCATAATTTCCGACGCTAAATCCTGATTTTACCTGTCTCAATGTGATGAATGTGAAAGAAAGGTGGGGGTGACTCATTAGGCCTTTCACATTTTTAGGAGGATTTATTTATGTTTTGAAATGTAGGGCCTATAAGTAATAAGTAGTATAGGCCTACAAACTACAATGGAAAACGGCCTGTGGTTGTTCTAACTGGCAGCAATCGAAAATAACTACCAGATAGCAACATCACAGATCTATATTTTCAAAGGCGTAAAAAAAAATGTAACAGAAATTAATTAATTAATCAAAGTTGAGCGAGCAGTGAAAAGATTTGAGAATGAAATTATTGAAATCGGTGTTTCAAAAAAAAAAAACAGAAATTGCGAGTGAAGTAGGGCCTATGGGTCTGGCTGCTTTTTATGTGGATCATGTGGGTGAGGTGGTGAGTGGAGGGAAGTAAAACTTTTGTTTAAACATGACATCATTGATTGATGACCAGGGGCGGAACTACAGTGCCGCCAGACCCCGCAATGCGGGGGGGGGGGGGGGCACACGCCATTTAGGGGCCCAAAGCCGACCATAATCATTTTCTTTTAAAGTTGAATTTTTTTTAATTCTCTTGCAGTTTTGAATTGAAGGTTGTTTTGAAAAAAAATTACAGTAGCTGCGGTTGGATTATCTTTATTCTATAGACAACATCCCACGCTTTTATATATTTTTCCCTTTGTTTTTAAACCACTGTGAAAGCCGAGTCCTCTTTCTCCTACAATCAAATTTATCAAAGATAAGCAAACGTTCAAACCACTTCCATGACTTATTTCCCTTTTTTAAATAGTCAAATAAGGGTGCTCATAAGCACAATTTAATAGATTTGTATTAAACAAATTAAAAAACAAATACTTCTTTTAATTATTTTTTTTTATAAAGTATTTACTAAAGAATGACACTGTATAAAAACGAAATGTATTTAAAATTAATAATATAAATACCAAAATCATAAAAATAAACATAACACGACACACCATTCCTTATACAAAGCTTTCATGTTTTATATTCTTTTGACCGAATGGACATTGAAAGGTTTATAGCAGAGATAAAATAAAAATGATTTTACACAAAATACACTAATGTTTGACTCGGGCCTCTGGTACTCTGACCTCATCTTCAATGACGCAGCAGTCAGGCTGATGAAAATCTCAGACCACAAACAGAACTACAGAGACTGGTTGGGAGAATCTTTCATAGCCCAGATAGAAAACCTGCACCGCTACACCTGTGTCAACCCAGACAGTGCCTCGGCCCTCAACCCCAGCCTCACCAGCCTAGCACTTGCAACTTTTGGCACTTTACTCTTGGCCTTTTTGTAACATACACGTTGTTGGATTGTAAAAATTGCTTTTTATACAACCTAAGGGGGATTCTCAGAAAAATGTGCAGACAGAAAAATAACTGCAAACAAATTATGTTAATGGGATTAATTTTGTCAAATTTTCTTGGAGAAATGTTTTTTTGCTAAAATGTACATGTGGATATTCTTTGCTAATGTCTATAAATGCTCAATTTAAAAAAAAAAAAAATCCCTTGTGCATATTTTTCCAGTCACCCTTAATGGCCAATGGGGCTGAAAAAATAAAGTCCATGAGTTGACTTTAAAAGCTGTTTACAATTGTTAAAAAACCCTTATCTGAATTAGGTTTCATTATGGATACATTTTTTTTCTGTGTGAATCAAGTGTGTGTGTAGGTCATAACTGGCCTGGGTGTATGAGAACTGTGGGCTGCCATCCAGACAACTGACCGTCATGACTGACAGCTGACATGACAGTGGTGTCACATGTAGATATTGATCTGAATTCACTAGTACAGGAGCTCATGGTGTGAGAATACTTTTTTAGGTGCCTTTGTAAATATGGTGGAAATTGAGCATAATTGTCAGAGAAAAAAACTGGTATGGCCATGATATTCTTAGCAATTCACTTTAATTTTCATGTAAATGACTTCATTTTTCCTTGTATCATTTAATTATTCTTGTTTTTTAAAAGTAACATTCCTTACTAGACAATTTGTTATGAACAAGACTGTTGTAGAGATCAATGTACATATT